TCATTTCCGGTAATTTAATTCTCTCCCAAATATAGTCCACAAAAGTGACGGACTGTTGGAGACGAGTCAAGCGACTCATGTGTCTCTCGCTGTACGGCAATAGTTTCTCCACTTTGGCCTTCAGTTCTGGTGTTTTCAGCAGTTCTTTGGGCGGTATTTGGCGGACAACCGCTCGGAGGACACACTGAGCGACGATATAATGCCTACTATTAGTATTCCATACGATCGCGTACTCCAACAGCGACAGCAACTGATCTTCGCGTAAACGGGACAACACTTCGGCCACTTTGTCGGCTCCTTCAGAGTCCAGTAGAATCTCTTTCATTATGCTTAAGGCGCGGTACGGCTGATCCAGTCGTACAGCAATGGTCAGCGCTTTCGACCACTTCTTCTTCTGGATATAATTCAACAAATTTTGTTCGCTTTCTATCTGCAGCTCGTGTTTGGCGGCCGTCTCTTCGCGTTCATCGGCGGTCACGTCCTCCCAGATAAAGACCGCCGAATCGGAGCTCCCGGTGATCAAGAGAGTGCGGCCATTGGCTGAGTGCTGTTGCGTTAGCGCCAGTGCCCACACTTTGTCCGCGTGAGCGTCCAATGTCTTAACGCATTCGTTGTCTTTGATGTTCCAGATCTTGACGTTACCGTCGCTGCCGCTGGAGATCATTTGCATTCCGCGATCGATGAACAGTACCTTCAATACAGACGTGTCGTGTCCTTCAAACGTCTTCAGACAGCTGTAGTCCACGAGAGCCCAGATCTTGATAGTGGCGTCCGCTGACGACGTGGCCAACACTTGATCCACGGGTGAGAACTTTACGCACCAAATACTTTTGCGGTGACCGCGCATTGTGCCCAATAGTCGCAGGCCATCGGTCGCCCATATCTTCGCTGTCTTGTCTTGAGAACCGCTGGCAATCAACTGGTCGTTCGGTGACAGCGCCACCGCATTGATCACCTTTTCGTGGGCTCGTTGTGTATGTTTGGCGGACAAAGCGATCGCTTTATTATCGCCGCAATCGTCGGGCAATTTCTTGGGAATCTTCCATATCTTTAAAGTGGTGTCTTCGCTGCCGCTGACAATGAATTGGTTCTTGAGATACGGCACAGCTATGGCAGTGACCGAATGCGTGTGACCCGAGCCGTAGTACTGGCAAACGGCTGATGATAATGTCTCGTCAAACTTCCACACTCTGATCACGTTGTCTTTGGATGAGCTGACGAGTGTCAGCGGGTCTGATGGGTATGTCTCCAGCGATAGTACGATATCTGTGTGTCCTTTCAATAGATAACAGTTTAATGTTTTTAACTCAAAAATCTTGATATTAGGGCTGTTTGTGGCGATCGCGATGTGTGTCTCGTTGGCGCCCAATAGAGCGATGTCTAACACTTCGTCCATATGTCCGACAAACTACAGATAATAAACAATGGTTTAGAGAGAGAGAGAGAGAG